GAAACTGGCCACTCTTTGGCTCCTCTGCTCTCTGCCTGAAGCAACGGGTGTGGGTGCCATCCTGCCATAAAAGCTGACGTGAACACCTTTTTCTTTTTTTTTGTAGGCCAGCGTAGCAGTTTTACTTGCCAGTTTCAGAATTCTTTTTAAGAGGTTCAAGTTGGTATTTACTCTGCGAAAGTCTCTTTTGAGTTCTTTATAGAATGCTAATTTGAAATTGCTAACATTTCACATCTCCCTGCCCTGCTATCACTTGACTCCTGTTCTTGACACTGTAAGGCTGCTGGGCTTCCGTATCACCACCTGAACACATGAAGTTTCCTGCTATGGAGTCAGACCTTTGGCCTGTCAAGGTCAGCACCAGCAACAGTTTCCCAAAATCTCAGGTCTTTCACATCACCTCCTGCCTGGTCCCTTTTTAAATGGAGATGGCAGGGATTGAACCTGGGACCTTCTGCACGCAAAGCAAACGCTCTACCACAGAGCCACAGTGCTGCTCCCTAAAGAAGCTCACTTGTCTCAGATTCTCCTGTAATGCCCATCTTAACCAGCTCATGGGCTTTTATGAGCAAAACTTGTCTTCTCTTTTCCCGGCAGGTATTTGAGATGGATATTTCTAAACAGCTTCACGCCTATGAAGTAGAGTATCACGTTCTGCAGGACGAGCTTCAGGACGACTCGAATCCATGCGAGAATGGCGAGGCTCCGGAGAAACTCGAAAGGGTGAACAATCAGCTTAAGAGGCAGAACATGGACCTCTTGGAGAAACTGCAGGTAAATCACGATGGGCCAGGCTTGACGGTCAACAGAAGATGCAGATCTTAGAAGAAGAAGGAGGAGGAGATTGGATTTATACCCTGCCCTTCACTACCCAAAGGAGTCTCAGAGCAGCTTACAATCCCTTTCCCTTCGTCACAACAGACACCCTGTGAGGTAGGTGGGGCTGAGAGGAGCTCTTTGGAGAACTGCCCATGTGAGAGCAGCTCTGAGAGAACTTGTGACTGACCCAAGGTCACACCAGCAGCTGTATGTGGCGGAGTGGGGAATCAGACCCGGCTCTCCCAGATTAGAGTCCACGCTCCTACCCACAAACGTAGACCATGATGGCTGAACCCCTGAAAAATAGTGGCAAGAGGATAGAGATGCTGGGAGGAGAGGAGTGCTTAATTTCCTCATGCTCCCGTTCCTCAGCTGGGCTTCCTAGATGCATGTTTCTTTTGGTTGTGGAAGGCCCTGGCGGTGGTGAGGACTGAGTGTCCCGGACACAGCTTTCCCTCCCGACCACATCACCTTCCCTGCCCCTTGCCTTCTCAGGTGTTTGGAGTCCTGGAAGTTCCGCATATTTAGTTTGGACAAAACCATCATCCCTATTTCTCTCTCATGCCGTCATCTCTCCATTTCTCAAAGGAAGCCTCGGGGTGGCACATATAGCTCGCCCCTCCCTCCCACTTCATCCTCATAACACCCCTTCGAGGTAGGTGAGTCAGGCAGAGAAAGACCGTCCCAAGGACACCCAAGTGAGTTTCATGGCAGAGTGGAGATCGCAAACAGCTCTCCCTCATCCTAGTCCGGCCCTCCGACTGCTACCCCACACTGGCTCGTCAGGACCTGTCATGGAGCGGGATCTGGCAAATAGCCTCTCCCCATATGAGCCCCGCAGGCACTTATGATCTATTAATCAACAGTTCCTGGTGGTTCCCGGCCCCAGGGACGTCCGACTTGCCTCAACAAGGGCCAGGGCTTTTTCAGCCCTGGGCCCTACCTGGTGGAATGAGCTCCCATTAGAAACCAGGGTCCTGCAGAACCTATTACAGTTCCACAGGGCCTGAAAGACGGAACTCTTCCGCCAGGCTTTTAGTTGGGGCAGCAGGCACCCACCTGCTATTGGCCTCCCCTCCAGTGACCTCAGATCCGAATGGCCCACTGGGAACAAACTGCTTCTTGTTGAAATCTGTTGAGGCACCGGTCTTTTACTGAGTATTGTTTTTAGAGCCAGTTTGGTGTCGTGGTTAAGTGCGCGGACTCTAATCTGGGAGAATCGGGTTTGATTCCCCACTTCTCCACTTGCAGCTGCTGGATGACCTTGGGCAAGCCATAGTTCTGTCAGAGCTGTTCTTTCAAGGACAGTTCTGGAAAGAGCTCTCTCAGCCCCACCTACCTCACAGGGTGTCTGTTGTGGGGAGGGGAAGGGAAAGGAGTTTGTAAGCCGCTCTGAGACTCCTTTGGGTAGTGAAGGGCAGGGTATAAATCCAGTCTCCTCCTCCTCCTCCTCCTCCTCCTCCTCCTGTTTTAGATATATTTTAACTGTCAATTTGTTATATTGTGAATTTTATGTTGGAACCCGCCCTGAGCCTCCTTGCAGGGAGGGAGGGATACAAATAGAATTAATTAAATAAATGAATGAATTCTGACGTAGTTGGCTTTCAGTGGGGGGGGGGGGCACATAGCCAATCTATTGAACCAACAGTATCGAGTGGCAGAATGTTTTGCTAGACTGCATCAATTGGAGCTGTCACTGAAGAATTGCACACGTTATGGTTCTTGTTGCTGTTATTAGCCTGCCTCTCTTCCTGAGACTCAAGGTGGATTGCCGAATATAAAAACAAATTCAAGGGAACGGTATAGATCTCTAATAAAACAATGCAGTGGGCTAGTCGGAAGACAGTGCGAGCAAATACATTTTAAAAAACTGACTGAGGCAGCAAAGCAGTCAGTGTCGGCAAAGAACCACCTAAGGCCACCAAACTGTCTTACGGTTTGACATAACTAGTAAATAAAAGTGTTGCAAAGGTAGAAGACATTGCATTGTAGTAAAAGGGGAGGGTTAACTGTGTGACAGACATTGCTGTGTACTACAATACTGTCCTTTAAGCAAAGTCATAGTAGGAGCCAGCTAAATCAGTCAAAATTGACAGCTGCAGCTTTAAGCATCTCCAAACGGTGACGCAAGACAGGCCTTGGGCAGCCCTTAATGGTGCAGTCTAGCCCACTCCCATCAGGGCCCGGAAGCTGAGCAGGGTGGACTGTGGTCAGTGTACTTGGATGGGAGGCCACCAAGGAAGGCGGGGGCTGCTATGCAGAGAAGAAGAAGAGATTGGATTTATACCCCGCCCTTCACTACCCAAAGGTGTCTCAGAGCAGCTTACAAACTCCTTTCCCTTCCCCTCCCTGCAACAGACACCCTGTGAGGTAGGTGGGGCTGAGAGAGCTCTTGACAGAAACTGCTCTTTTTTCAAGAACAGCTCTTATCAGAACTACAGCTTGCCCAAGGTCATCCAGCCAGGTGCAAGTGGAGGAGTGGGGAATCAAACCCGGTTCTCCCAGATTAGAGTCTGCACATTTAACCACTACACCAAACTGGCTCGCAGAGGAAGGCAATGGCAAAAATCTACCTCTGTTTACTTTTTGGTTTGAAAACTCCACAAGGTAGAGCTTCATGGGGTTGCCACGAGTCAGCTGTGTCTCAACGGCACACTTTAGCTCTTCAGACGGGCCCCTCTAGGAAAGGCTTCCTCAAACTGTGTCGCCACAACAGAGAAGATGCTTCTCCTGGGTTGTAGTCCTTTCACGGCTGCCTCAGCTGGGCCTTTCTGTCTTCCCTCTCTCACAAGTGTGCACATGTCTCTTTTGGCAGCCACGGCTGGCGTAGCGGCGTTTCCTAAATGTCTGACAGCTGTGAGGCACTTTCTCAATCGAAATTCAAGGCTCAAGAGGTTCATCTTTTAGGGACCGTGATTTGCCCGGGGAAGGAGGGGGGATGTCTAGCGTTTCTGCCTGGGTCGCAGATTTGGGCATGTTGTCCACCTGGACTCTTAGATCCATAAAGGTGGTTGGAACTCTGATGGTGGTGGGGGAAGGTGCCGTCAAGTCGCAACCAGCCTGTGGTGATGGGGTTGGGGTAGTGGTTAGGAGAGCAGACTGGGATTTGATTCTCCACGTGCAGCTGCTGGTGTGACCTTGGGCCCGTCACCATCCTCTCAGAGCTGTTCTCTCCCGAGCAATTCTTGAGAGAGTTCTCTCAGCCCCACCTACCTCACAGGGGAGAGGGAGGGAAAGGAGATTGTAAGCCGCTCTCGAGACTCCGAGTGAAGGGCTTGATATAAATACAATCTCCTCCTCCTCCTCCTCCTCCTTCGCAAGAGATGAACAGAGGTGGCTTGCCATTGCCTTCTGTTGGGTTTTAAAAATTGGTTTTTAGCAGAGATAAAATAGCTTAGCAGTGCCAGAGTAAAATAATTCAGACCCAGAGTCCATGTGTGTTTAAAATAGAAAGTTTTTACTACATTCTAGCATAGGGAAGGGTAACTGGGATGGAAATAACAACGGAGCTAAATTCCCTACATCTTTACACTACAAAGGACAAGACTAGAAGAGAGTTATGGCTTCTCTTTCTTTTTTCTTGAGAACTCCAAACAAAGACGGGAAGAGGAGCCGTAAAATGTTAAAACACTTTGACACTTTTGTCCCACTCAAACTCCTAGATCAGGGAGAAGTTTCCCGGGCTTCTATTCCTAAAAACAGCATTGGTTACATGAAACACATGTGACTTCCTGTGACAACGCAAACAAACATTTAACCCCAGAGACACTGAGTGTAATTTTAACTTGTAATACCCAACACCTTCCACTGCATTAGCTGCCCTGGGCTTCCTTGGTGGTCTCCCATCCAAGGGTTAATCGGGGGCCGACTCTGCTTGGCTTCCGAGATCTGAGGAGGTCAGGCCAGCCGGGGCCACCCAGGTCAGGGTGAATCTCTGCTGGCTTCTAATATTCCGGAGTGTGTGCGTGAGAGACGGAGGGGCAGAAGGACGTGAGGGTCTGGAAATGCGTGACGCGTGGGCTCGCCAGTCCCCCTCCTCCGGCTCTTTCATACAGCATGCAGAGGGAGAAGTCAGTGGGCGCACACGCGGGGCTCTTTTTGTTGCAGGGACTCCTTTGCCTATTAGGCGACACCCACCCCTAATGTAGCCAATCCTCCAAGAGCTTACAGAGCTCTTCTCACAGGGGCTGCTGTAAGCGCTTGGAGGATTGGCTACATTAGGGGCGTGTCGCCTAATATGCAAAGGAGTTCCTGCTACAAAAAGAGCCCTGCTTATCCTACGTTGTTCCACTCTGGGTTGTCACCTGATGAGAGGCTTTTTCACTCACCCGGCCCCAAATCTTCATGATCAGGGCAATTTGGCAAACATGCCGGACTCCTGAAGCTCAAGGCCAGATAAACAAAACAAAAAAAAATCAGAATTTCGGTGCCCCTTTTTATCTGAAAGAAAAAGGAGAAGAAGAGATTGGATTTCTACCCCGCCCTTTACTCGGAGTCTCAGAGTGGCCTACAATCCCTTTCCCTTCTCCTCCCCACAACAGAGACCCTGGGAGGTAGGTGGGGGCTGAGAGAGCTCTCTTGAGGACTGCACGTGAGAGAACAGCTCTGACAGAGCTATGGCTTGCCCAAGGTCATCCAGCAGCTGCATGTGGAGAAGTGGGGAATCAAACCCGGTTCTCCCAGATTAGAGTCCGCATTCCTAACCACCACGCCAAACTCTCCCCCCAGGAGAGTCATCAAGAAAAATAGAGATTGTCTTAAACTTGTGTGTGGGTTACGGTAATAAGAACATTTCTGTTAATCTTTCTTTGGAGAGGGCCAGCCTCACACTCAGGGTCATCTTCCCGGCAAGTAAATACAGTAACTATTTGCCATCCACCCTTGTGCAATTCCTTGTGGGCCTTCCAAGCTTCTTACGGTAATACTGCAGCTGTGCCTGTCACCTCTCTCCAGTGTCCCTTTTGTTTTAAAACCCTCCGTCTTGCCACCATCCTCTCAACAGGCAGCTCACACTCGACTCCAGAGCTTGGAATCCAGTTTGGAAGACGTCTTGGTGCGAGAGAGCAAAATGAAGAGCCTGATCCTGTCCCTGGAGCACGAGAAGGCGCTTTACCGAAAGGCTATCGAGAAGATCTGCCAGTACCTCCCCACCGAGGCCCTGTCGGCCTGCGAGCAGCTGCTGAAGGAGGTGGACTGCCACCCAAACATGATCTAGAAATAAGCCATATATCGAGAGTTGCGGGCGACGCCGTTTCTGACAATAAAGGAAAGAGACAGACCGGCCGCTGTGGAGGGTATCTGCTCCGCCTCACACGGGTACTGGGATCCTTAGAGCATCAAGAGAGGCCTTTTCAACCTTGATATGCAAATCCCAGGCTAAATGTTTTTTTTTTAATAGTGCGTGTATGTAAACTGCAATGCAAAAAGAAAAGAAAAAAGGTCAGATCTAATGAAGACAATTAGATATGTATTTAGGATTGATCTAAGGGGGTGGTGGGGGATGAAATTTCGCTCGCGGAAACTGGTGGTTGACTTTTGGAACGTCGACCTCAGTACGTTTTTCTTGACCTGTAGTCAAAGGAACACTGTTGTGTCTTTCTATACATTAATTAATACTTGAAAAGAAACAAGAATGTAATTTTGCCCCCCTCCAAAGAATAGCATGTTTCTCATTGTAGTGTGGGGGGGCTGCTTTTGTAGAGGCAGTGATGGAGGTGGGGGAGATGAGGGGATCCGAGCGAAATCCCCGCGAGCTCTTATGTGCCTGTAATAAATCCTATGGACAACTTCCTCTATGTAACAGTAATACCCGCTGGCTGTCCAGATGTGATTTTGCTGCTGAGAATCACTGTTGCCAAGTTGCTTCCCCCCCCCCGTACTTCCAAGTAGCCGCACCTTCCCCCCCCATGTCTCCAGAAGTTGAGGGAGTAGGAGATGAAGGCTGGGAGCGGCCTCTTCCGTGCGGATCGTGCCCGTTACTCTGCAAAGAGTCCGAATGGCCGCAGCCATTCTGCTGTCAGTGGGAGATGAAATGCTGGCGCGTGCATGCCGCTAAACCCGTCAGGAAGAAGGCACCGGGGTAGACTTTCTTCCAACCTTGCTGGATTTTGTATGTGTCGGCATCGTTTCTGGGGAGGATGTTCAAATGCTTCATCTCCCACCTTGAGAGCCGACGTTGTACAGTCCAGTGGCCGATTCCTCACGCGGGGTATCCCCCCGTCCATTTTGGGACTTGAGGAATGGAAGATGCGGCACGGTTTTCAGCATGGACAGTGTGTGTGCTTTGACCGAATGTGTGCCGTCATCACAGGGTTTCAAGGAGCCGAAGGAGCTTTGCCGGATTGTTCATTTTCTTCTCTGTTTCAAGGGCCAATTAGGATCAAGCGATCCTTCCAGCTTCCCCCCCCCCCTTTGTTGGAACAAAGGCACTGGATAAAATTTAAGCATTAGAGTTCCTTAAACACTGTAGGATTATTATAACACAGCAAAGATGCACTTGCCCCTGAGAAGCATGTAGGCTTTTCTTGTGTTAACTCTCCACGGGGGTTATAATCTAGATCTAGTGGTGGATACATTTCAGCTGAAAATATCTGCTCTGTAGTTACACTTTTCCTTTTTTTAAAATCAAAGAAGGCCACAGACACTGTTTGATGCTCTTCAAGCAGCTTCTGCCTCTAGCTGCTGCTCTGCGTTACTTTGAAATGTATGGGGTGGTGGTGGGGGGTTTGGAGTCGCCTCTTCTGCCAGACACTGAAGTCAAAAATTTGATATTATAGGGACTGACAAAGCTATGAAAATAGCTGTCAGTCATGCACAGGAAAATGTGCATTTTGGAAAATGCTTGAATTATTATAGGGTTCGGTAGGGATGTTTTATTTGTCAAATTGTTTTTGATAATGAGAAAAGTGCCAAATTCTGCCAAGTTGTCTTACTCATAGCAGTCGGGGAGGGTGTGGTGTGTGTCTGTGGCCAGGGCTTCCTTTGTAACACGCATTATGCAAGCGACAAGCAAAACGGTGGGGAGGGGAAGGGGGACATGACAAAGTTGTGTTGCTTTTTTGTGTGTGTGTGCTGCAGCGTCCGTCTCTCCCCTCCTAGTACTGATACAATTCTTATGATTACGGTCCAGCAGCAGGGCAGGAAATTCTAGGAGTGGACATCACTTGTGTTAATTTCAGTCATGTCACAGAAGTGCACCGAGTGTTGTTTGCGTGCCATTGATTATTGCCTCTTATTGAGTAAATAAATTTCACACGGGATTAGAGGACATTGCAATAATACTGTATTTCGCCAGTTCAAGGGAGAGAAACAAAAGCCATTTGAGTAATTTGTGCATACGGAATTAAAGCACAGAGAACTGTGGAACTGTATACAGCAATGATCAAGTTGTTCAGGCACACCTTGCATTTTTTTTTTTAAATCTTGAAAGACACAGTATATTTCACTCTATGTTGGACTTACGTTGACTTTTGAGTTATTCATTCATCACTAGGAACATTTCCAATAAATGTCATTGCTGCAATTCCCTTGGCAATATTTTTGTTTGCAATATGGATATATATATATATATATATATATATATATATATATATATATATATATATATATATATATATATATATATATATATATATATATATATATATATATAATATGGAAGCTTGGATATAGAAATCTCCCGCCTGCCACCCTTGATATGTTTTTAATCTGATGCAGCTGGCTTGCTCTTGCATCCTGATTCTGAAACAAAATTTATAGCATGGGGGGGGGGGAAATCCTACAGGATCAAGGCACTGCAATCAATACAAATAGAACTGTAGGAAAATTATTAAAATTCTAAGCTTTCTTCCCTGGGGGCAACTCAGACGTCAGGGACTGAACCCGGCAGCAGATTTACTGACTGAAGTAATAAACTATGCAGATATATCAAGCATCATTTATTTAGAAATATTGAGTGTTGTTTACATCATGATGTGTGATTTCTAATCTTATAAAGAAGAGCATACAGCGATCAACATAAGCAGATTAGCCAGGCTGCAGTTGCGGTGGTTTTCATCATGACAAAATTATTCTGGTCGTAGCTCTATATATTTCAGTGCTATTAAAATGCTGTATGAAGAGTGAAATTACACAGCTTTTATAAATCATGCAAATCCATGGTCAGACTTATTTTATATTTTGCTTAATTCTGTTTTTTCCAAGTTGGGCAAGGACATTTATCTATTGCAAATCTTATTCTTCCCTTTCTGTGAGTTCTGAGATTTCAGGAAGGCAATGCCTAATTGCTTTCAGTCATCTCTTCATAGCCATATGGACAGTAGACTTGCATTTGTTTTAAAAATGAACAGTGAATTCTGTATTCTTAGAGAATCACGGTATATGCACAGTCGTGGTATACACACAAATTTTGATTATTTTTATTTGGGGGGCCAATAATCTCATGGGGATCGTCTGCGGTCATGTTTCTAAAAAAAAAGATAATAAAAGACGGTAAAAGACATTAAACCTTTTCCTGTGATCCGAGAATCTCTGCTTGTGTTAGGCAAGGATAAGGCTTGAGGGGAAAATTACCAACAGCTTAGATTTCCTTTGACCACAAACTTAACTTGTTGCATCCAGAATTCTACTGCAAACATTTAGGAACATCCCTTTTGGGGATTTAATTGAAGCCTGAGATCTCTTTTGCCCAAACTTTTTTGAGGACTTCTTGGAGTTATGGAGGAGGGTGCCTAATGTAAGGGGAAAATATTTGTATTTGTATTCTGATTGTAGCAGCTTCATATTTTATCTACCACAGTGGCCAGGCTTAAAGGATCTAGAGCATTGTATCAAGTCAGTTTCACTCCTGGAGGGGAAACTGGAACCTTAAGGAGAGGCAGACTTGGGACCTTCCTTCCTTCCACCTAAATTTGAGGATATGTGTTGAAGTGCATAGTTAACAGCTTTTTAAAATGTTCCAAAACTGCTTCAGTCATGTATGTGTCTCTCTGTGTATAGGCATTATCAAGTGTGTGTGTGTGTGTGTAGTGCTGGTAAGCCACTTCCGTCTCATGGTGACCCCGTGAATGAATGACCTCCAAAACATCCCCTGGTTTAACAGCCTTGCTCGGGTCTTGAAAGCTGAGAGCTGTGGCTTCCTTGACTGAGTCAATCAGTCAGTGCTGGGTCTTCCTGTTTCTGGCTGCTTTCAGCTTTCCCAAGTAGTATTCTCTTTTCCATAAGTCCTGTCAGTTTGGTGTAGTGTAAAGAGCCAGTTTGGTGCAGTGGTTAAGTATGCGGACTCTAATGTGGGAGAACCGGGTTTGCTTCCCCACTCCTCCACTTGCACCTGCTGGATGACCTTGGGCAAGCCAAAGTTCTGTCAGAGCTGTCCTTGAAAAAGAGCAGTTTCTGTCAGAGCTCTCTCAGCCCCACCTACCTCACAGAGTGTCTGTCGTGGGGAGGGGAAGGGAAAAGAGATTGTAAGCCGCTCTGAGACTCCGAGTGAAGGGCGGGGTATAAATCCAATCTCCTCCTCCTCCTCCTCCCTTCTTCTTCCCAAAGTACGGTAGCCTCGGTTTGGTCATTTTAGCTTTGAGAGGAGTTCAGGGTTAATATGATATCAAATAAGCGCTTATGAATAACGCCAAAATAGACACGCAGAGAAATCTGTTAAAAATAGTGCTGGCCTTATTTCTGTCGGGCCAGGTTCCTGCCAAGACCCCTTGAGAGTGGGAGAAGCCTGTTAGAGGGGCTTCCAGCCAACAAAGAACAGGCCGTCAAGTTGCTCTAAACCACCTCCTTTGGCCAAAGCTGGGAATGGGGGGAAATGACCAGTTCAAGGCTCACTGTTGTCTTCAGTCTTCCTGACAGCCGTTGGGAAATGGTTTTGGCTTGGCTGGCTTTAAGTCTGCAGAAAGTGGCAAAATGTATGGGAGAACACGACTGGGAACAAAATAACCTAAGTGTGCGCAGCAGGGCAATGTGAGCTTCACAATATTTCACTGAGGTACGATTTATTTATTTTTTTGCTACCGCTTCAAAGGTTAAGCAGACGTCTTACTCTTACTGGCCACTAGATGTCCCTGTTGCTTTCATAGATACCTGCGAAATCCCCCAGAATCTTGCCGTTTGTGTAAAAGGGACCTTGTGTATTCATCTGCGTCATGTCTAGTCACTAGTGGACCAAATGGATGAATTCCTCGTTCCAGGACATCCGGAAGAATCCCGTTTTGTAACATCTTGTTAAGGTTTTGCCTGTAGGAAGGCGACAGTGTCATCAGCTACTACAGATTCGCCGTTCTCCTATCCCAGGGGTCCCCAACCATCTTTGAGCCCTGTGGGCACCTCTGGAATTCTGACACAAAATGGCTGAAGCTCAAAGGCAGGGGAAAATAGGGTTGATTTTAAGAGCACACTCGGGGAAAAAGGAGTGAGCAAAAGACGGCTCCACCTCCTGCTGCAGCAGCCATTTTTGTGGCTGGGCCCGCCACACTGCCGGAATTCCAAAGGTGTCCCTAGGGTCAAATTGTTGGCGACCCCTGCACTACGATAAGATGCTAATACTAAGTAATGCTTTGTTCTTTGTAATATGTTCTCTGACTTCAACTGCATCAGGACAGCTAAATGCTGCACAAACCTGACTCTTTCCACTGCCAGGGGGAAAAAAAATCCATGTAGATTCCTTAGAGGAACTTGCCTGGCCCATTCTTTACGGGGTCTTCTTATTGGATTGGTTTGAGGCCTTTACAAGTACTACATTTGGGGGGGAATCCAGCCACATGTACTAAATGTGCTGTTGCCATTTTGTCTGAATACCAGAATGTACAAGTTTTCAAGCTTTGGATTACCACATTTTGTTGGAATACTACATTTTCCAGGGTGGGGTTCACACGTAGTGAAGCTG